GCGTTTCATCACATGTTTTAAGGTCTAACAGGGCAAATCTTCCTCATTTGTCTCCTTTTAAACACATTTCTTGGCTGGTCTTGCATGTTTGCTTTTTCCATGTAAACTTTTGGTGCTATTTTAATTAAGACGGCATCAAATGTGTACTTTTAATTTAGGGAAAACTGGGCTTTTAACAATATTGCCTCTTCCTTTCCAAAAGTATGCTGTGCTTTTCCATTCCTTTACCTCTTTTCAGTGGATTTTAGTTTTTCTATTGACTTCTTTACAAATAAGAAACATGCACATTTCTTGTTGTTTCTGGATGTTTTAGGTTTCTTAGTGTTATTGTGCTCAGACTCCTCCGTAAGAGGCTCCAGCCGGTTACTGTCTGCTTTACGGAAGCTGTTGTCCTCTCCGTGATGATGCTTCCTAGGGCCCCTAACTTCCTGCTTCCTAACTGCCCCTTCCTACTGCCCCTAACTCACTGCTTTTCCCTCATCCCTAAAGTTTTCTAGGTAGACAATCACGTTATCTGCAAATAATGATAATGTTGTTTCTTCCTTTCCAATATTTTTACCTTTTTTTCTCTCATTTGTCATTGCAGTGGCTGACACCTCTCAGGGGAATGGAGGTGACTGACAGTGTAAATCGCTCATTGTCACAGGAGTCCTCTTGGCGTCCCTCCCTTGTGGCACGTGGTCCGTTCGGGGCTCACCGCGTGCCCAGCCCTGCTGTTGGCATTTCACGTGTGAGGTTGGTCCTGCTCTTATCCCTTCTGAGGAGACTGTGATGGACATAGGGGGTAAATGAACTTGCCCCGGGGTCGTACAGCTGATGGAGACAGAGCCCACAAAAAGGGCAAAAGAAAGGGAATCTTCGTGTGGGTTGCAAGAACATAGGGGAGTGCATGGGTGCAGAGCTAAGATGTGAAGGATCTGGTTGTTAGCTCCATCTTGTTGCTGGAGGGAGGGGCCCTGATTTCCACCATCTTCCAGTGGAGAGTTAGAGAATAGAGAAAGAGAAAGACTTGCAGAGGGTAAGAAGGGCTAGCATGCAGATGCTAGGTGTCCTAAGGTCAGAAAAATATTAAAACTGAGAAGAGAAAATATTTGAAAAACAAGGGAGGTTAATTTTCCAGAATGAAAAAAAAAATCAACCTCAGATTATAAGCTTACAGGAAAATCCACACCTTTAGAAAATTCTAGAAGCATCCTGGGAGAAAGAACATGGAACAAGAAGCCAGTGGACATGGGAGTTCTCAACAGCATACAAGGAGACCACAAAGTAATTTTTTTTTTTAATGGAAGGAAATAAACTTTGTACCTAGAATTTTGTTTCCAGCCAAGTGGAAAGTATAATAAAGGAATTCTCAGGAATCTAAGGCCTCAGAATGTTTTTCACCCCAAAACCCACATTAAAATATTTTCTATTTCCTAAACAACAGAAATGCAAGAGAATCTTTCAGCGGGATGGAAAATAAGACCAAGTTCCCCTGAATGAGTAATAATTATTTTAAATGAAAGCAAGGACCAAAGAAAAGGAAAAGTATATTCACAATAACTCAGACTGTAGTCCTAGACAGGATCAGTGCCTGGGAGTAAAGGATATGTGACCAGGCTAAAGAACTTAAATGTTAGGGACAATATATGACTACAAAGGGCACATAGGTTACATTAAAATGGTGTTAAATTCAGGACAGTTGCCATAGAATAAAAATAAGAACAAGGATAAACCAGCAGAAGGATATTCACTGTACGCAATGAGAAATGGAAGTAGGATAGCAAAACTAAGTCTCAATGTAACAGTAATTACTATAAAGGTATGTGCATTAAATTCCAATCAAAAGGCGGAAACCAAAAAAGAGGTATAAACTGATTAGATTTTAAAATTCTAACAATGGTAACTTAAAAGAAAAATGCTCGGGGTGCCTGGGTGCCTCAGTCGGTTAGGCGTAAGCCTTGGGCTCAGGTCATGATCCCAGGGTCCTTGGATTGAGCCCCATGTCCAGCTCCCTGCTCAGGAGACTGCTTATTCTTCTCCCTCTGCCCCTCCTCTTTCTGCTCTCTGTCCTATGAATAAATAAAATCTTAAAAGAAAAAAAAAGAGAGAGAAACACTTAAAAAAAAAAGATACAGAAAGTTTAGAATAAAACTTTGGCAAAAGAAAGACATACCAGGCGAATATGAATCAAAGGAAACTGGATAGACATCTTAATATATGACATTCAAATTTAAAACAAAAAACAAACACAAACACAAAGGACACCTTGTGCATGTTAATGAAATGGGCCACAGAACGAACATGCACACCCATCAAAATCATTTCAATACCTACAGAGATGTCTCAATGCATATCACGCAGCATCTGCCAGAATGGAAACGAGAGAGAGAGATTTCAACAAATGTAACTGGAGATTTTATTTCTAAAAATAATAATTTAATAGCTCAGGCAGAAAAAAACCTAGCAGAAATCTCCAAATCCTGATCAACATAATAATCTTAAACTCTTAAATGTATACAGAGCTCTATACCCATCAAACAGAATATAAGCTTTTGAGCACATGTAGAATATTCACAGAAAGAGACCAGGTGTTAGGACCTAAAGGTGTTAGGACTTAAGGAAGCCTTGATAAGTTTCTGAGGCGAAATTCCAGCAGACTGGGCTGCTAGGTTCGATTTGTGCTTCACCCCATGCTCTAAGAAACCACTCTAAATGGACCTCATTACTGTCACTGGGCGCCCCTGCCTTCCAGCTGCCCTTTGGGCTCAGCCAAAGGGAGCACTCCCAGATCCAGGAAGGAGGGAGCGTGAGGCCCAGAGGCTGGTTGCTCTGATCCCTCGGGATGAGGGCTCAGCTGAGGCCTTGGCTCCTTCCAGGGTCTGCTCCCTCTCTCTCCCTCCCTTGCCCCCTCCCCCTTAGTCAGGCCACAGTGTCATCCTAGTGTTACTCAGTCCTGTGGTTTCCCTACTCCTACCTACTCGTTTGTAAATAGTCTTTTTATCAAACACTCCTCAAATTACCCAATTGGAGTGTGCCATCTGCTTCCTGCCAGGATCCTGACTGAACACAGACTGTTCTCAGACAATAACATGATTAAATTAGAAATTGGTAACAACAAGTTATAATAAAAATACCAAAGCAAGCAAGCAAGCAAGCAAGAAACGCTGTTAGGAAGTAAGTAACATTATTAAAGAAGGCATGGGTTTGTAACCCATGAGTTTAAAAGAGATCATTAGGGACATTAAGGAATATTTAGCTCTGAATGATAATGAAACACTGTATGTCCCAATTTGTGAGACCCAGTAAGTCAATGCTGGAGGAGGAATTCTGCAGTTTTAAATATACCTATCAGAAAATTAAATAGTTCAAAAATAAATGAGCCTAAGCTTTTAGCTCAAGATGGAGCAACGTATTAGATCCAAAGAACCAGGAAGGAAGGAAATAATAGATAAGGGCAGGAGTAACTGAAATAAAGGGAAAGATGAGAAGATGAACAAAACTAAAAGTTGGTCCTTAGGAAATATTAAAAAGGAAAAATAAAGCAAATAAAGTATGGAATAAAAAGTAGAAATAATTACAGAAGCAATTAATAGAAAAATGAATATATGCTAGTAATTTTAAAAGTTCGATGAAATTGATTAGTTCCTAGAAACACGTAAAATTTGACTCCAGAAATAGAGAACTCGACCAGATCAATAAATATGATGAAAATGGAAATGATAAAGTTACCCCCCCCCATAGTTTTATTGTTTCTACCAAAAGCTTGTAAAAACAATAAATTCTCTTTCACGTAGGTAGTTCAAGGAAATAGAAAGGGAGAAATTGTCTGGGGGCCTTTGGGGGGCGGGGTGAGAGGGTGGTCTCTTTTGCAGAGTGGGTATGTGCCTATGCCCTTGTTACTTTGGGGGCATATGCCACACAGATGCTGCAGATCGAGGTGAAACCCCCCCTCCCTCACTGGGGCGCATGAGGATTAGGGCAGCTCCTGGCAGGTGTCAGGCGCTGGGGGAGGCGGAGCCATGGGCATGCAGAGAACACTGAGGAAGAGAGCTGGGGTGGAAAGGGACCCCAGCGCCCCCCTTTCACGATGGCATGACGTCACTGCACCCACCGCAGTTCCGGTGGGTGAGCTGGCCAGGGGCTTTGTCAAAGTTTCTACCCCTGGAGGGCGAATGGAGGTTGCAGGCAGCAGAGATGTCTGTCAGTCATTCACAGTGGCCCAAAAAGCGCCTGGGGAGGCTGACGAAGGCCGGGTTTGCCCGTGTGGCCCTGGAGCAGCGTGTGACTCTGTTCTGGGAAGTGAAGCTGGGGAGAAAGGCTGTGGGGACAGTGGGGGCTGATGACCTGCAGAAGTGGGGCGGGCGGAGGATGGGGGCTACACCCAAGGCACGATGGGAGGAGAGGTGGCAGAAGAGATGTCATCCCCGCTGGAAGAGCGATCTGCGATGCTCTGGTCCCCTCTAGTGCTCTGACCGAGACTCCAAATGCGACTGAAAATTCACCTGTCACACCCAGAGTCAGGGTCCCTCCCTGCCCCCACCCAGCGCCCCTCCCTGGTGCAAGGAGCCCACCGGGGCTTTGTCCCTCTGCGATTAAGCATTTGTGCTGCCAGCCTCTCGGGTGGGCGGGCAGGTGGAGATTTCACTGGAAAGGGGTCAGGGTGGGGGAAGGCCCAGCGCGGGATCCGTGGCAGGTTCTGGTGGGCGGGGGACTCGGGGCTGAGCGCCGCCCGGTCACTCTCCCCTGCGAGGGCGCTCCGGGACTGCGCCCGGCGGAGGGGGCGCCGCGTCTGAGCCGCGTGTGGGTTCGCCCCTCTGCACCTAGCAAACCGCTGTGTCGGCGGTGGTGATGTCACAGCTCGGCTCCGGCCCCCTCCGGCCCCAGCCCCCTCCCCGAGGCGGCCGCGACGCCCGTCCTTCTACCCGCGCGACAAACCAGCTGGCGGCTGGGGCTCTGGGCGCAGCGCTCAGCCAACCAGCGCGGCGGGAGGGGCGCGGGGCGGGCCGGGCCGGGGGCGCGCAGCCCGTCACGCGGTGCCGCCGTCACAGCGCCAGGCTCAGACCCGGAGCAGCAGCAGCTCCGCGCTCGGGGACCCGCGCCCATGCCCGTGCCCATGCCGGGCCGCCAGTGACGCCGGGGAGGTAAGGCGGCCGCCCGCCTGGCCTCTAGCACCTGCGCTCGGCTTCCCGCACCTGCATCGACTGCGCGCGGCGTGGGGAGCTCACGCCCGGAGCCGCGTCCTTGTCGCCATCGAGGCGCTGGCGCCGCGCGCGCGGCCCCTTCCCTTCCCCCGACCCTCCCCCGTCCCCGAGAACAATGGGGCAAATTCAGGGGTGTCCCCTTTTCATTCGCGTCCCGGTAGGGCCCTCGGGAAAGGTTCCCATCGCTGCGGCCTCTGCTGTGGCGGGATTGTCGCTGGGAGGGGCAGGGTCGCCGCGGGGAGGGTGCGCACCGCCGGTGGCCTCTCGAGACGCCCCCTCCCTCGCTTCCGCGCTCTAGTCCTTTCCTGGAGAGGGGCCACCGAGCTAGACCGGCGGGCAGTGGAGAAGGGGAGAGCGCGCGGATGACCGAGCGGGGGAGAGCGCGGGGCATCTGCCCGAGTCCCCGGGGTGGGGGAGGGCGGATGCTGGAGCCCGGAGCATAACAGGCGGGCGGGGCGGGCGGGGGCTGCGGCGGGAGGCCAGCTTCGTGCGCACCTCCGGGACTGCCCTTCACCATCCCCCAGCCGTGTCCTCCTCCCGAGAGACCCTAGCTCCCTTCTAGAAAGGCCTGGGAGGGGCCGTCCCGGAGGAGGCCTGTGTCTACGCAGCCAGCGCCCGAGTAACAGGTGTGGCCCGGCGGCGGGCGGGGAGGGGGCTGAGGGACCGCCCGACTCGGATGACAGGGACGAGTATGCCGCGACTACCCCTGGACTCCCCTTTTAGGCTGCGGCTCACCCTCTCTCCTTCCACCCCAAACCAGCGGCGCTGGCTGTGCGTTGGGGAAAGGGTGGCGGCGGCATCCAGGCGCGGAGGGAGGGTCTGCAGTCGGCTGGGCGCTAGGTGGGCGGCGGGGGCGGGGGCAGGACAGCGGGCCGCAGGGGCGAGGGGGAGGGGAGGGAGGGAATGCCAAGTCATGGGGCCTGCTGGGCGCGGGCGCGACGTCGCCCCGGCGCGGACCCGATGCGCGCCCTCGTTCCCAGGAATAGCGACTTCCCCTGAGAGACTGGTGCCCCCTCCCCAAAAGGCAGCCCCCTCCAAGGGGTACCCGCATTGCTGGGATTAAAGGCCTGTTAGGGCATCGCACCGGATCTTGCGGCTGCGGGAGTAGGTGTGGAGAGGTCCCTGACGCGCAGGGCTGCCCAGGTCCTAACCCTGGGGAGGACTCTGCAAGACCCAGAGCGCAGGCTCCCGCAGAGCGGTGCCACCGACCCGCCCTCCCTGTCCTGCTCTCGGTATGGCTGAAGGGGCTCTACCAGGGCAGCAGTGCCCGTCTGCCTCGCCTCGGCCTGAGAAGGCAGCTGCAGGTTTGCGGGGGAGCTCTGGGGTCCAGAGTGGGGGGTTGGGGCTCTTCTACCTGCGGCGGCCATTTTGCAGGTGTGGTTGGCCACCCGCCTTACTGGGGCTGTAGGGTGAGGGTGGTCAGGTGTAGAGCAGCTGTGGCCCCTGCAGTGGGGTGCGGTGTCTGCGGTGGAGGGTGAGGGATGCTGCTAGGGCCCGCCCGTCTGCTTTCTGTTGGAGAGAAGATCCAAGAAGGGTTGATGGTGGCAAGGAAGCGACTGGCTGTGGAGGGGGACAGTCAGCCTCTATCTATCTGGGTGGGAAGTCTGGGGAGGGTATTGGGTTCCAGATAGGGAGCAGATGAGCAACTCTGTCCCACATTAAGGGAGGATCTGAAGACAGGTGGTGTCGTCTGTGGGGTGTGGTCCAGGGGATAGAGATGGGAATCAGCTTTGGAGTCAGGGCTCCCCAACCCAAGATTCTCAGTGGGGAGGGGTTGTGAAGAGGGCCTGCTGAATGTCTGCTGTGTGCCCCCTTCCCCCACACTGGGATGCCCCCACAGACTGACACCCCCCAGGGGCCTCACCAGCCAGATAGACTGAGCAGAGCTAGAATTGATCCAGACTCCTAGGACAGAAGGCCCTGCCACCCTGCCTGGTCTCCCTTCAGGCCCCCCTGGTGTCACCACTGCTGACCCAGGCTAACGATGGCCTTTGAAAGTAGAGGAAGAAGGTCCTCCTGTGGGTTCTGTGGAGGGAGAGATGGGATTGGGGGAGGCACAGAGGTGGGGGAACAGAGATAGGTAGGAGGTGCTAATGGGAGCAACATAGCTTCAGGAGAAGCTATGTTGGGGGGTTCTGCTTAGTCTCACTCAATTTGCATAGGCCAGCCAAGGCAGGGGAGCTGGGTGTGGCAGGGGGAGGGGATGTTCTGATGGGGGCCTGCTACCACCTGACTGGGGACCGAGGAGGGGCTACCAGCTTTGGGAACCACGCCCTGGCCTTTAAGGATCAGGACACAGCCCTCCATGCCTGAGACCCCTACTTCTAAGAGTGGGGAGGGGTCTGAGCAGCCACCCCTGGGGTGGAGACTGTGGGATAGGGGTCATGCAGCAGCTAGTGACCCCCAGGATGAGCCCATGCTCACCCTCCTGCCCAGTCCTGAATGCTTCCTGGAGCACTGTCCCATTTAGGGTTCTTAGATCAAAGGAGTGGACCCTCACCACCCCCCACCTCTACTGCCCTCCTCTCCCCATCCACACCCAGGAGCATCACACAGCTCGGTTGGGGCTGGACCACACCCTGCCCCAAACCTCTTGGCTTGGCTGGGGTGCCCAGGGCAGAGCCAGGCAGGTGGGTCTCTTCCATACCCTGTTCTGTCCCGTTAGCTGTGGGCCTCACCCCACAGGCAGGGCTGGGGAAGCAGGCAGAGGGTAAGGGTCGGGGTTGTGGGCACGTGATTCACTGCCCCACCTGACCGAGCAGGTTTGCAGTTTAACTCCTGAACACCATGAGGATTCTGGCTTGGGACGCTACCCCCAGCTCAGGGACTCAGCAAAGGGGTCATTGCACTGGGAGTGGAGGGGATACTGGAAGAGTGGAGGGCACAGCAGAGGCTGAGCCCCCGACCCCTCTGGGTTCCTCTCCAGCCTTTCCTGTGTGCCTCTGTGGTCATGTCCCCGGCCCCCAGCCAGCTTCCTCTGTGGTTTTGTAATCTGAGCCCCTCGTGAGCCCCTTGCCAGCCCCGGAGGCCTCACTAGATGCCATCCCTGGGATGGATCAGGATTTACAGGCCGCCTGGGTGGCTGGGCATCTGAGAGGAGGGGCTGTTGCTCTGGAGAGCCTCTGCCCCCTGCGTTTAATCTCCTAATAATCCTGGCCTGCCGTGTGGCTGCCCCCCCATTTGGAAGGGGTGGGGACATGCCGGGGTGCCAGGAGGGCCAGCCAGTCCCCCCGCCCCCAACCCAGACCTCCTGCTCTTCCTTCTCAGCCGGCCTCACATCGGTCACCCGGGGCACACCCACACACATGCAGTCCCTTACACTCAGTCTCACACACTCCCCCACGCACACTCACAGACTCTTCTTACCCCTCCAGTCTTGCACACACTCATACACGTTGTCACACACGCACGCATGCTCATATCCACTCACCCAGCCTCACCCTCTCTGGCACTTACAACTAGCTTACACATACAGCCACACACCCACACACGTGCTCTCTCTCTCACACACACACACACACACACACACACACAACCCCCCACATACTCTTACAGTTTTACACACTGACACGCTTGCATGCACCTCCACGTGCACCCCCTTCACACACGTGCCCTCATTGTCTTTGTTCCCACCTCATCCTCTTCCCTCTCTGGAGCCTTCCACCCAACCTCCACAGGAAGTCCCCACACCCCCCAGATTCCACCACCTTGAAGCTGCCTGCAGCCCCCAAGGTGTTCCTCCAGCCCTGGTGGGCAGTGGCCTGGGGGAAGAAAGTCAACATTTATTGGCTGCAGAACTGGGAGACTTCCTGGGGTGCTCCTATGACCAGGCAGGTGGTGCCCCCGCATGGCTTCTCAGATCTGTAGGCAAAGGCTCCCTAGACCCCAGACTTTCTGCGGCCTCAGCAACCCCCACTCCAACCCTCAACCTGCCCTCTACCCTGCTCTACCCCCCACTCCTCCACCCCACCCCTCTATCCCATTCTCAACCTGCCCCCAACCTGCCCCTTACCCTACTCCTCTACCTCACCCTACTCCTGTACCCCCTCCCACCCTACCCTACTCCTGTACCCCACCTCACTCCTCTGCCTCATTCCTCTACCCCAACTCACTCCTCTACCTTACTCCTGTACCTCCACTTCCAGTCTGCCCCCCAGCCCACCCCTTCACCTCATCGCACCCCCCCAGCCCACCCTCTACCCCTAGCCCTGACCTGCCCCCTACCCTACCTTCTAGCCTGCTCGCTCCCTTACTCCTCTACTCCACACATCTCCACCCCACAGCGGCACCTACCGCTGCTCCTTCACCTCCACCCACCCCCACTCCCTCCCACTCTTCCACCCCTTGACCAAATCCTCTGCCCCACCTGCCCCTTCAAATCCCCGTTCTACCCTTCCATTCCCCCTGCCCCCGCCCACCCCAGCCAGTGCAGGGCCTCACACACAGTGGGTGCCCAGCCAAACCAGTTGCTTTAGCCCAAGCGATTCATGTCCCGTGGGCCTGGAGAGAGCGGCTGCCACCCTGGGCGTGTGCAGGTTGTCTGTGTGTCTTCACATCTCCCATTCAGGGCCCAGCAGGTCCTGAGGCAGGTGCCAGTCCTGAAATGCAGTGCTAGGGATGGGGTGGGAAGGACCCTCGGGCCCCTGCAGGCCCCTCTCCCTAGAGTCTGGCCTTTGGCCTCTAGGAGGGAGGCTGATGGTGCCCAGGAGGAACTTGGAGGGATGTCAGGAGCCCTGTTCCCGCTCTTGGGTCTCAGCCCTGCCAGGAGAGTTCAGGTGGGCCTCAGTTTCCTTCCCCATCTGTCATCAGATCGGCCGGGATGGTAAGGGGCAGGGCGGGGCCATCACTGTCCAAGGCCTATGGGTCTATGGGGACAAGGCTTCTGAGGGGCCGTCGTGGGTGGGACTGGGGCCTGGGGTGACTCAGCTGCTCTGTGTCAC